AAAGGGGGCATAATGACTAGGCCTGGATATGAAGTGGGAATTTTTTAAAATTGTGAATGTGAAACGGACACACATACATACTCTCTCTCTCTTTCTGTTTCTTTCCTTGCATGTTTAGTCATATTTCCAGTTCTTTTCTTATCTGCGGTATGCTTTATCAATGACGCAGAACGGATCACCCGAAAGAAATTTGAAGCTATGATTTCATAGCACACCACGTTACTGATTCACATAATATTATAATCTTTGAAGAGCGTCTCCACCAATCTTTGTCATTATTATCCCGCGTTCTTTTTCCCTTTCCGTCATCTCTTCCCTCACTTTCACTCTTTTTTAGCGGATATCTCGTAACTATCTGGTTGGGAAATTGCTTAGGCACTATGTTTTTTGTTTCTGTTGATAGAATCTTTATTCAGATACAAAGTCATGGATGTAACCATACATAATTATTTACAACAAGCAAATCATCAGATATTGAAATTCCTATAAATCTTTAGCTATCTACATACACTTAGTAGTACTCGCATCTATTTCATTTTCTTCAACTTCTAGTCTGTACTATAGCAGAAAAGATCACTTTTTCCTTATTACTTTTGTTGCTACATTTTTATTTAATTTATTTACAGCACTCGCTTTCTAAATCGCAAATAAAGCATAACGAAGTAGTAATTAATATGTGTTACATTTTCCTTTGCGTAATAAAAACCATATACACTGTAAAAAAAGAATTTGTTCATTGGTAATTTCTACGTATTTTTTCCATGTAGAATTTACTTGAAAACATTAGTTTTGCCACTTACGCACTAAATGTAAGTCTTGCTAACTCAAACTTTCAATTTAGTAGAACATACGTGGAATATTTAAGTAAAATCAAATACATAAGAACTTTAAGTAATTTCAGCTTGTATTAATTTAGTAATGTTAACTCAAAATCAGAAATTATACCTATTACTCAAACAATTTATGTTGAATATTCTTATCTTTTTAAAGTAAGGACCGATGCAGTGCGTAATAGAAATATTTACATAATTTATGAATATTCATTAAGACCAAATTAAACTCTTTTTTAAATAAAACAATTCTTTTTTGTGGTTGAATGAAAATTTAAGGACTTTAAAACATTTACTAATTCATTTAACATGGCTAAGCAAAGACAAGACAATTTTTAATTGTTACCCAGTTCAAAACAAATCAAAACTTGATATTTCAGGAAATTGTCAACCAATTTTCCTTTTAAGATGCTACGATCAAGTATATATAAAATTTGGAGCCTTTCAATATGTGTCGAATTGAAGCGTATGTAATAGTTTGTGATGGTGGTAGATATATATATACGGTTAAATCTTAAATAGAAGTAGTGTTAGTAATGGGTACCAAATCGTGCAATATGTAATCCTATCATAGCTTTTTTTAAATTATCTAAAATGATTACAATACTTAAATTATTTACGTTAATGTAACTCGATTTAACTGAGTAAAAATTTATTCAGCAAAATAAGTAAATTCTACTTAAGATGCCGTAGGTAATAGTTACTTAATTAAAATAAGGCAATTCTTTTCCTCAATTTTATTGAGTTATTTCGATTATTATTTTGTTACAGTGTACCATACAAATGGGTGAAAATTTAAAATTTCTACAAAATGAATTACATAATAATATTTCAATAACATTGCAAAATGGATAAAACTTTTTGCGCATTAAAAAAATGCATGCATTGTGGTACCAGTTTTGTCACAGTATAAACACATATCGTTTTCTTTGAGATTCCATTTGAATAAATTAACAGGTGTTTGTAAAATATTATACGTAAATTTAAAGCTGAATTAAATCAAGTAATTATCACGAACATATTTCAATTTAGATAACCTCAGAGGATCCCACTAGATAAGAATCAAATACTAAAAAACAATAGTTCATTTTCCTTTTTTTCATGGAGTTTTTTTAAAACTCTGGAAACTACACAACAATTTTAACCATCTAAAGACATAAAATGTGAAAACACGTCAACCATATTCATACCTCCATTTGAAGAGTATTTATCATGTATTCCTTGTTCACTTTCGCTCTATTACCCCATGACAATTGTAAAATAACTTTTCATACGCTTTCATCACGACAAAACTTGAGCTGTATAACTTAATTTTGAAAATGACAAATTTAAAATTCCTCCTTTTTCCAAGAATTTTTTTTTTTTCAATCATATTTATTTTCCTTCTATCCGGATTTTACGCCCTGTACATATCGTCATATCATCAGCCTGTTGAGCTATCTTAATTTATGTAGTGTGTTTTCCGATAATAACAATTTTGTGTGTGGTAATACGCAGAATTATATATCATCATAAATGACTACTTTGGAATTAATCATGCCTTAATTAGCAGTCTTTGATGTGTTACAGAGGATGAATACTTGGAATTTGAACGTGAGGCTCCTTGGAATCCCACATTATTTACACAGCAAACAATGAAATTGAGTTCGATCGGGAGGATTTTTCTCGTTCCTACAAAACGATCTCTCACGTCCAAAGAGATTCGATCATACATAGTCAATAAAAACACAATGTCAATTTTGTTCTTCCATCGCGATATTATGCTAACAAGTGGAAAAGAGCTCATTAATATCAAAGACGTCATTATATTTATGGAAAAATGTGTGTATTTCTCTCAATATTCATCAATTTTCTTCTACATTTTAATATATTGTAGTCGAGGCAATTGTCTACAAGATCAATACAAATTTATTTTCATTTTAATGATGTCCTCATAGTACAAACTTCGATTAAAGGCCACATGTCAGAATTTTCTTAGTTTGCGTGTTATGTCTATGGAAGGTGAATTTTGTTCACATCATGAATCTACATGACATTCTTCTTTGAGCACTATCTATCTTATTTGTGCTCTGTTTTCTCCCAAATTTGGGTATGTCATAGCTGAGACCATGGGCTATAAAAATGGTGTTTTAGTTTTTTGATCAGATGATGAGATCATGTCACAATTTTCAGTTGAATGTTGAAATGATGAATATGTCACGTATGTCCTATTTGTGAAACTTAAACGTTAGCAGTGTCCTCGTATTCAAATTATGTAAGGAAACCCTTTCACTTTCTAGACTTTACTGTCAGACACTATTGAGTGACTGACTAACATCTTTTTTTTTCTCTGGTAATAAAATACATAAAATGAGCGTTATAGGGAACATGAGCATTTGGCTACATTAATAACCCACTCTGTTCTCATTGAACTTCATGCAATATTTGGTAGTAATACTAGAGATACTTATACTGATATCAATGATTTAAGCTATTTATCCGAAAAAGAATATGAGTTTCATTTCAGTAGGTTTCTGAACTGTAAATATTATATTGATGAGGATTTTACGACTGAATTCAGTAACATTGACTATCATTTTAGTATTTTACATTTTAATTCGCGTAGTTTAAACATACATTATAATGCTTTATCCAATTTCATCTGTACTTTATGTATAGATTTCTCTGAAACTTGAATTAATGACAGTACGCCACTATTATTCAATGTGTCTGGTTATTCGTTTATACATTCTAATCGCCAAGTAGGAAAGAGTGGAGGTGTTGGTCTATTGGTCGCTGACAATTTTGAATATGAAATACGCAATGATATGTTTATATTATACCCATCATACAATTATGAATCACTGTTTGTTGAAAGCAACTTGCCGAGACATAAGAATATTATTGTAGGTGTCATATATAGAAACCCCAATCAAATATCAATGATTTCATCCCTGTCTTTGAAAATGTTTTACAGAAAACTTATATTGAACATAAACAGGTTCATATAATGGGAGATTTTAACATAGATCTCGTGAAATTTATTGGCAATGCTGTATGTAATTTCTTGAGCGCAATACATTCAATTTTTTGTATTCCTTTAATTGACAAGCCTTCGAGAAAGACTGACAGATCAATATCCCTCTAATCCAAATTCCTTATACAGTGACAATATATATCCATCCGATATTTAAAGACATTATTTTCAAGCAACTAGCGAATTTCACGTCAACTCCAAATGATCGCTAATGTATTCCCACATTTATTTTGACTTTTCATTTACGCCAGGACATCGTGACGTCCTACACTATTCACTTTTAATTATTCAGGCATAAGCTCTTATATATCAATTACATTTTCATTTCTTTGAATAAGATAAAGTCGTCAAAATGCGTTCTTCATGATGTAAATTAGAGTCAAAGGTGTAACTGGTTACTGCACAGAGTCAATGGTCATATATTGTTTCAATCCATCTTCCCTAGATCCATAATGATCAAGGGATCGACACAATTTAAACTTGACATATGGATAGATCATTGTTGGAGGAGCATTTTATAAAATAATATATCGTGTAATGCATTCTTCGTTATGTAAACCAATATCATACGTATCACCTAATTCGTCTAAGTGACGAATTCATTCTATTTTTCTTTTCTTCTCAAGTTCACTCTCCTTGTACGTTTCCAGAATCTCATACTATACTACTCCGTTTTCGCCTCCTATAATACCTTTTAAATTCCGACCTACTATATTGTGTTTTTTAATACTCAGTAGGGGAGCCTATTCGCATACAAGCTATGCTTTTTATTTATGCTCCCCACATTTAACATTGTTTTACCTTGCCTGTCACATCTGTATATTTCAAAACTTTGTACGACCTATTTTCCGTACATTTTACTTCATTTGAAATCTTTAATTTTTTAAAATGTGAAATCTACTCTTATCCGCCTGTATAAAAAATATTTAAAAACTTCAAACTTCAAACTGCAAGCGTAAATGTATTAGCTCATCAATATCAGCGCAGCACAATACACGTCATATAGTGTCCTATATAGACACACAACGATTCAAAGTTAGCTAAAACACGGTAATTAGCTTTGACAATTCTTTAAAATGCACTGAAACCAGCAGACAATCGCTGATGTAACTTGCTTTCTTTTCTTGGTAAGCGCTAGAGCAGGATATATTTTGTCATAAATCTTATTATTCTCTATGCACAATACAACATTTAAATCGTTGAAGCAACTAAATAAATGAAATTGATAGCGGTTAAGTTTCTGGCAAGATTCATGTTTGTTAACGTTCATGTAAGCCTTTAGATTAATTTTAATCTTTTGGCTGAATCATAGACCTAACAAAAATATAGGATTAAATGAGAATTACGTTTTTTAACTATACATAATTTTTCGCTTTCGATAAACAACATTGTATGATTAAATAACATTAATCACTAATAATATGATTATAGAATTTAAAAAGCTCATATAAGGATATTACTAAAAAATACTATCAATCCCATTTTATTCTCGTGTTTTTCACTGGTCAGCTGGTCTAGCAATCTATTCATGTCAAATGTATTACTTTCCTGGAAGTCACAATGTGGTATCGGTGCTGACTGTCCCTCTACTTGACAGTTGGATATCTTGCCTGCTCGAAGTCGCCAAGGACGTGCGACCATCCTGCGACCCAGAGTTTTTGTTCTTTGCCCTGACGAAATCGTCGCTGCGACGCTGACCGCAGTGCATCCATCGCACCCACTGCTCACGGACCTCCTTCTGCCGGACGCAGAACATGAGGAAGACGAGGAACCCCTGGAGGGAGTTTAAGACGAGGAAGAGGATGTTGAAGACAACACGGGCACCACCAATGGCGAGGAAACCGAACAACCATGTCAGACCGAGCAAGACAGAGATGGCGACGGCGTTCTGGACCCGTCGCCACATCTCACCGCGGCTGGCCTGGTTGGTCTTGTTGTCAGCGACGGATTTGCGGCATGACAAGCGTTGCATGACGATACCAAAGATGGTGAAGTTGGCGGCAAGGAAGAGAGCGACGATGAGTAAGACGCCGTAATACAGGGCTGGACCCGGCTTGACAAAGCAACTGTTAAGCGAAGAGAGAAAAACACACCATACTTAAGTTTGAGAACAGAGAGGCCATCTTATCACGGTGTTATTCTCTTCAACAAATATTGACGAATTATAAGATTGATAATAATAACAATAATGTACATATAATGATAGCGATAGTGATAACTCAACAAGAAGCAAATAAATCACAATTCATTATTACTTTGAAATAAGTACATGCTCAAAGGGCCTATACAGTTTCCATGAAAAGACGTAAAATGACGAACTTGTCGACATAGGTTTTTAAAATTAAAACAACTCATCAATAATTGCACATACAATGAAACTACACGGGCCGACACATTTTCCATGAATAATACAAAATGGCGAAATTGGATACCTTCAACATCGTTTTCAAAAATATCATTAAGATGACGATTTATGAGAAAATTTAAATATTTAACTTACTAAGTCCCGTCTCCCAAGTACAGGGAGCTATCAAATGCTACTGTTACGACACACACGAGAAGAGGCAAACCTGTAAACAAAAATATATTATCTGAAAGACTTAAAGATGTCAACAAATCAATATAGGTGAAAGGGTCTAATTTTCTCAGGAAGACTGACTTCCCGCTGCCTGAATGTTAACTTTTTTTCAAGTTTTTTCAGATCGTTTGCGCTGGGGAAGTAACCACTAGTTTACATGTCCTTTAAAAATCTGATAATAATGATAATTTTGTTTAAACAGGAAATTTTCATCAGCCTCAATGCTGTTCTTCATGAAGGTCGTGTAATTATTAAATTAGTATCCCCCAGCAATTGCCAGGTACCCATTTACACCTGGGTGGAGAGTGGCAAGTGTTGATTAATGTCTTGCCAAAGGACCATAATGCTGGGATCAGTCTTGAATCCCTAACCCTAGGATTGCGAGTCAAGTAAACAACTCTCTATACCACGACACCCCCACATTATTTTCTTAGTAGACCAAGACACTCACCATAAGCAAAAAGCGCGGCCTTAAGCATAAAATGAGACACGGTGGCGGCTAGGACCTTGACGAAGAGGAGGTACATATTGATAGCTTCCACCAACATCCACGACATCGACGACAGCAGAAAGAAATGGATGAGAAAACCGACCACCACGCAACCCGCGGTCGTGTAACGGCGGTCGATACCGATGACGAACACGAGATAGAGCCCGAGAAGCGCGAAGCAAAGGTTAATCAGGATCCGCTGAGGTTGCTTCGAGCGTAGTTTTCTGTTTATATTAACAAGGGTGATTATCAATATTCGTTTACAGTTTGTAGAATGATATGGGCCGACATGATGGCAGCATGGTCCCTAAAAAGAACATCTACCTCGTGGATGTTACCTTTCGGGGGTTCGTTCTCGTAATGTCCAGATTGTAATGTCGAAAAGAAAAACATCTAAAGCTTTGGGGATTGGGAACAATTCAATATGATTTTAGCATACATTTCAGGGAGCTGCTTCAGAATTTTGTCCAGTTCCGAAAAGTTTCACAAGCGAAAGATAAGAAATTTTATCGAACGAAGGGCGATATAAATGGTTTACATTCATCAGTGACATCACGAGTTCGCGGCGGCTTCTCTTCTGTGATGACCCTTAGCGGCATCTTGATAGAAAACAATAACATGCCGACACCCTTTGAGTCAGCCGCGCGGCTTCTTTCATGTACGCGTATCTATAAAAGGAATGTGCGCAATGTATGTTTCGAATTTATATATGGAATTATTTTAGCCGGGATATATTGGTTCTCACGGTGTTGGCGTGAGAATCCTCATTCACCTTGCAGATTTTTTAGAGGATGGTCATAGACATTATTCGGTGGCAAATTAATTTATTGGACTTTATTGAGGAAACATTGTAGTCGGCAACTATTATACTTCGATTCCACATCGGATTTACAGAAGGGAACATTTTAATACAACTTGGTTCTTCAGAGTAATTATATACGGCGACGGGATTTTGAATTGTGTACATTTGGAGTTCATAACTGGTTAACTTTATATTAGCTACATAACTTTGTTAATTGTATCATCGCGTCGGGAATTATAATGCCGAAGGCTAAGCAGCAATCCAGGTGGACAACTGTTGACCGAACTGGGTCCTCACGTCCACGGAGAACTGCAACTGCAACAGCTCCGCCTTCCCAGCCCGTATCAGAGCCTCTCGTCCAGGCACCGCAGCCGAACCCCGGAGTGGAGCAGCGGGGACCGGGTCCATCCGCAAGTGAGTACGATTCTAGGCCGTTGGTTTGCGCGGGTATTGATACATTAAACTCAATTGGAGGCCCTGAGCAGGCGCAGCAGGTGGGGCTTATGATCAATGCCCCTCCCTTGTTGGCAACTCCTCGGGAGGTGCTGGGGTCAGCTGTTCCTCGCGCATTGCGGGATAGAATCTGGAAAGGCGAGTTTGTTGATTTAGGGGCCTTGCTAAAAAATGTCCCCGTTCCAGACGGCAGCGCACCCACGGTTATTGCCCTGTCGGGGTCGACATTGCAGGTACAACCGCGGCGAGGGGTGCCGCGAATAACCTCAATAGAGCAATGGACCAGCGCATTTTTGGTATTTGCGTCTATATACACCGAGAAGCATATAGTTCGGGCCTTAGAGATGTTTAAGTATATGGACACCGTCCGGACGGCGGCTAGTTTTGGCGGCTACGGCTGGCGCACATACGATGCGCAGTTTAGGCTGAGGCAAGCAAGAGAACCCACTAGATCATGGGCTGTCATTGATAGTGAATTGTGGCTTATGACTGCCACAGCACCATGCATGCATTCAACCCCCGCCTACTACGGTGATGCAATTCGTGAAAGCGACCCCTTCGGCCAGACAAATTAATAGTGTTTGTCCTTTTTGGATCTGCCAGTGGCACGATTTACTCACATTCTTTCAGAAAAGGCGCGGCCACATTAGCCGCTATGACCGGTTTGACGCAGGGGAAATTGAGAACACGGGGCGCTGGTCCTCGGACGGGCATAAGAGATATGTTCGTATTAATATGCTACCTGTTGCATAATTCATGATGTATTGTACCATATTACTTCTTTAATCATTTGAGTTTAAGGAAGCGTGTTAAGAAAAATTATCAGTTATTTGAGTTGATCTATATGTTTAAATAGTATTTATAATTGACTCATGTTTATGCATGAGGCAGTTGAAGATCAATATTGTTACATTTCATTGGTGATTTTGAAACGAGTTATCAACAACAATGAGCTGCCGGAAGTTTTCCTTTTTTCTTTTTCATTCCTGCTGTAGGTTGCCAGTCTCGTACAATCCTGCTCATAGGCGATTCCATGATCCACTGGTTAGCCGCCTTCGCGCATCGTAAGGGAAAACAAGGTTTGGGGTCGGCAGCCAACGTCGTTTGGAGAGGAAGGAGGGGCCTTAAGCTAGGTCAACTAAGTGGACATGTCCAACGGGTGCTGCCCGGTTCCTCTCCGTCGCACATCGTTCTGCACGTGGGGACGAACGACGTCGGGCAAGCTAAAAAAGACGAATTGTTCTTGCTTTTGGATACAACACTCGAACAATTGCACGAACATTTCCCCAATGCCCGCATCATTTGGTCGGATATTTTGCCTCGCAGGACCTACAGCGGCTTCAGTAAAGACGAGCAGCCCAAAATTGATCGGACGCGGCGAGCTCTCAACAAGCACGCCAGGCGCATATGCCGCACGATCGGGGGCAGTGCTTTGACTCACCTGGGCATCAGGCACGAGCGGCGCGAGCTGTTTAGGAATGATGGTATTCATCTCTCCGAGACCGGAAATAATATGTTTCTTCATAGCCTTATTAAGGGGTTGGAAAACATGGCATAGATTTTCGTGGAGTTTTTTGTTATTCAAGTCGTAATGAAACGTAGTAATCACGTTTGTTTCGGGTAATTGGTCTATTTTTATTTAGCTCAAGCTTTGTAATTACAAAACTCGTACGTTATAGCAAAAGAGACTTATCAGGCTAGTGGTTTTTATTAAGATGTTAAGTTGATTTATTTAACGTATAGATATATATATATATATATATATACAGTATATGTTTCCCCATTTTGATGTTTAAAGGTAGTTATTAGGTTTCGGGTAATTGGTTTATTTAGCTCGAGCTTTAAAAGCATAAAACTTTTATGTAACGCGAAAGAGACTTATTAGGCTAATGGTTACGATTAACATGTTAAGTTTATTACATATATATACCCGGATTTTGATGCTGCGTATTTCAGTTAATGAAAATTACAAAGCTTTCTCATGAGCTTGGTCACAGTTGGGACCATGAACGCGTTTTTCATTGAAGACTGCTTTTGGTTTAAGATGAAAGGTAGTTATCTCGTTATTTTGATTAATTGGTTGATTTAGCTTAAGCTTTGAAATTTCAAAACGTGGGTATTGAAAAGATATGGTAATTGGTTGAATGCATTATGTTCAAGTTCAAGTTCGCGTACTTTGTACATATATATATATATATATAGCCGTTTTGTGGCTTTGTTTTATTTACCGATTATTGCAGAGTGTTTTCATGAGCTTAGTCACAGTCGTGGCCATAAATGTGCTTTTAACTTATAGTTTTTGGTTGGAAACGAAAGGTACATGTAGTTATCATGTTATTTTGGCTAATTGGTTGGATTCAATATGTTCACGTTCAAGTTTGTGTACTTAGTTCATATATATATATATAGCCGTTCGTGGCTTTGTTTTACTATACTTACTGTTATCGCGGAGTGCTTTCATGAGCATAGTCACAGTCGAGGTCATTAAGGTGTTTAATTTATTGTTTTTGGTTGAAAACGAAAGGTGGTTATCACGTTATTTTGGTTAGTTGGTTGATTTAGCTCAAGCTTCGAAATCGCACAACGTTGGTATTGAAATGAAATTAAGGTAATTGGTTGAATTCAATAGGTTCAAGTTCGTGTTCGCGTTTAAAACGCGTAGTGAAACGAAAGTAACCCATTAGAATTTAGGGTGAAATTACTATGTCAGTTTATATGCGTACATTACGCGATAAAAATATATACGCTCAGTGGCGGCGGGCGGTGCCCGTGTGGCGGAAATTGGCATTTTGCCTCTTCGCATATATATATGTGTATGTGTATATATGTTAATATATACATATCGTCCTTGTTTTCACGAAGTGACGGTAGTGAGGAAAATCGTAACGCAAAGTGAATGCAATTTTTTTTCACTACCGTCACTTCGTGAAAACAGCGACGATATAAAGGTTATTATGTGTATTACACACTGCTGCAGAATACCCCATGGGAAGGTTGTGTTTTGGAGAATATGATTTGGATTATTTTAATTGGCCATTGTATCTTGCAGAGCTCAATATTTATTGGTTTCCGGTAAGGGCCCCGATGATAACAGGTATCCTGTTTATTTATAACATGTACCCGCCTGTAAAGTAGGCATCTGTTCGCCTGTTTAATGCAGTGGAACCGTGTGTCTTCTTTGTATGCAGAGGGGTGTTATACGTACAGCCCACTTTGTGGTACTCACAGTTAAATTCCATATGAGAAGGTAAACTCTGTTCGCCCTCTTTAATGAGGAAACAGTGTCGCCTTTTTACGGGCTGTGGGGGGTTGTACACAAGTTCTCGTCTGTTGACGGCCCTGATGCAGAGAGTACTATGGATTGGACATGCCGGCTCCATCCAGTTTTTCATGTGCAGATACTTGTATAAATTGATCAAAAGATTCGAAAATGATACCCGGGTCCTTCCCTGGGGCAGATTGGAGCAGTGTAACGTTTAAGTAAACGTATTTTATATTCAGTTGGGAAAGTTTGTGTCGTAGTTGTTATTATTGTCATGATGTTGATATTCAGGGTAACAAGATTCCATCCTCTATTAAATCTCAAGTACCCGCAAAAACGCATCCCGTTTCATTTGTTACTGTGAATGTAAGAAATTTTATCGAACGAAGGGCGATATAAATGGTTTACATTCATCAGTGACATCACGAGTTCGCGGCGGCTTCTCTTCTGTGATGACCCTTAGCGGCATCTTGATAGAAAACAATAACATGCCGACACCCTTTGAGTCAGCCGCGCGGCTTCTTTCATGTACGCGTATCTATAAAAGGAATGTGCGCAATGTATGTTTCGAATTTATATATGGAATTATTTTAGCCGGGATATATTGGTTCTCACGGTGTTGGCGTGAGAATCCTCATTCACCTTGCAGATTTTTTAGAGGATGGTCATAGACATTATTCGGTGGCAAATTAATTTACCCTCCACCAACCCCAACTTCATTTTCCTCCTAACGTTTTTCAAGTGTATTCGATAGTATGTTTTACTAAATATTATGTGGTCAGGAAGCGTGTCAAGTGATTAACATAACGGATTAATCATGTTTGTTTTTTCCCCTCAGTCAAGTAATCTTGATGTCGAAGCAATGCTTGGCAGGTTGGGGCTTTCCTGCATCACAATTAAAGGAGATTTTATATATAACAACGTTGTTGATATAGCCGAGTAACAATTTTGGTCTCAGCTCGTTATACCATATTTTGTCGTTGTTGTTAATTCGATTATATATATTGGCATTATTGTTTTGCAAGCAATACGATTTTGTAATAATGGTTTTGTTGGTCTAGGAGATAAGTTATGATTGACATGATATGTGTTTTGTCTCACAGATATAAATGCAATAATGCATGGAAATTGTTTTACATGCTTTAGGTCAAGCAATCGAATATATACGATACAGGGTAATCTCGATTAAAGGAGATTTCATATGTAACAATGTTGTTAATATAGCAGAATAACATTCCTGGTCCCAGCTCGTTATATTATATTTTGTTGTTACCTGTATTAGGTCCATGATTATATACAACGGCATTTCTGCTGTAGCATGGTAAATTTAACGGGACCAATTAAGAACCTCGTTATACCGATTTATCGCTGTATACAGTGGGTTTAACATTATTTAGTGAGTGTGTTCACGAATTAAAGGAGAATTGTATTCCCAAAGGACATGCAGGGTAATGCTATATCAAATTGAAAGTTTACTCGGATTTGGAGCAAATTGCTTGGTCGCACGAATATCTGCGGTTTTATAACGAATGGCTCCGCAGTCGTGGGCCGTGAGGGAATTTTGTCCCGGTCATGTTTCTCAGATCAGTGGTCTGAAGATCGGGTTTGTTTCGCCCTCACCTCATCCGAAAGGGGGTCACGGAGTGGCCTCGGGGGGGGGGGGGGGGGGGGATCTAAACACGCGAATTGTTGGAATTTGCGTTGTGACATGCGGAAATTGGCATTTTTGCCTCTTCGCATATATATATGTGTATGTGTATATATGTTAATATATACATATAAAGGTTATTATGTGTATTACACACTGCTGCAGAATACCCCATGGGAAGGTTGTGTTTTGGAGAATATGATTTGGATTATTTTAATTGGCCATTGTATCTTGCAGAGCTCAATATTTATTGGTTTCCGGTAAGGGCCCCGATGATAACAGGTATCCTGTTTATTTATAACATGTACCCGCCTGTAAAGTAGGCATCTGTTCGCCTGTTTAATGCAGTGGAACCGTGTGTCTTCTTTGTATGCAGAGGGGTGTTATACGTATAGCCCACTTTGTGGTACTCACAGTTAAATTCCATATGAGAAGGTAAACTCTGTTCGCCCTCTTTAATGAGGAAACAGTGTCGCCTTTTTACGGGCTGTGGGGGGTTGTACACAAGTTCTCGTCTGTTGACGGCCCTGATGCAGAGAGTACTTTGGATTGGACATGCCGGCTCCATCCAGTTTTTCAGAGCTCAATATTTATGGTTTTCCGGTAAGGGCCCCGATGATAACAGGTATCCTGTTTATTTATAACATGTACCCGCCTGTAAAGTAGGCATCTGTTCGCCTGTTTAATGCAGTGGAACCGTGTGTCTTCTTTGTATGCAGAGGGGTGTTATACGTACAGCCCACTTTGTGGTACTCACAGTTAAATTCCATATGAGAAGGTAAACTCTGTTCGCCCTCTTTAATGAGGAAACAGTGTCGCCTTTTTACGGGCTGTGGGGGGTTGTACACAAGTTCTCGTCTGTTGACGGCCCTGATGCAGAGAGTACTATGGATTGGACATGCCGGCTCCATCCAGTTTTTCATGTGCAGATACTTGTATAAATTGATCAAAAGATTCGAAAATGATACCCGGGTCCTTCCCTGGGGCAGATTGGAGCAGTGTAACGTTTAAGTAAACGTATTTTATATTCAGTTGGGAAAGTTTGTGTCGTAGTTGTTATTATTGTCATGATGTTGATATTCAGGGTAACAAGATTCCATCCTCTATTAAATCTCAAGTACCCGCAAAAACGCATCCCGTTTCATTTGTTACTGTGAATGTAATAATTATCAAGTATGAAAAGTGCTGTCAAATTCAATTAACGCAGACTTACACCCATATAAATTGTTCTTCTGGCATATGACCTACAAATGTAACATTTTAAAGTCGCAAAATATCATATACAACTTGAAATTTTGTAGTTATGTCAATTCCTGCCAAATTGTGTTTGCAGAATAACCATCATTTTTGCTTACGATAATACTGCTATTAATAAATACCGATCACATTTTATTTACTCATATGAAAGTAATTCAATGAGTAACTTATTCCACATATTAAAAGTTTCGTCATTTCCTGAGTAATAGTAGGCCTGTCTTTTGTTATAGCTTTATCCATTCCTATCCATTTACAGATCGGTTAAATAATCTTTGAAATATTATATTTGATGAAAATAATACTTTGATTTAAAGAAAATGTTTCAAAATACCCCTTCAAACCCGGGTTTAAGCTGTTCTCAAGATTTCCAAATTGTTAGTCAAAGAATACACAAGTATGTAAAATATTGACGTTTGATGAGTCAGAGGGAATATTAGGAAAGATCTCTTACTTCATGCTCAGATAGGTAACAAGTGTAATCACTAGGCATATGATGGAGATGATACAGCCGATCATACCTACCACATCTAAAACGTAGAGGCCCACATCTCCTGATACATCCTACAAATAACGAATGAAGCATTGCAAGAGAGGGAGAGAGGGAGAGAGAGACACACACACACACACACACATTTAATCACTTTAAAATTTGAATACATGTTTACGGGTACACCAAATGAATGATCCATGTAATATTGAATATTTTACAGCGCTCACATCTACCACGTACTCTATCCAAGCCACTCCAATATTACCCAAGCTCGAACTAGGCGAGGCCTGTCGATTCCGGTGCACTCAAGGAATTCCTTCCCATATCTATACCCATTTAACACCTGGGTAAAGAGAAGCAAATAAAGATTTATGTCTAAATTGAACAATAGTGCCGCACGATGGCTCGAACCCACGACCTTCGTATCACTAGTCAAATGTTTAAACAATTTTGCTACGCCGCCTCTATTTTCGACATGTCTTAAAGCCCCACTGCACTACTTGTAGATACTTGCTCCCTCTATATAAAAAAACAATGCCTGGGCGGTGCCCGTCGGTCCCCCATGACCCTCTTTTTCTTATGTTAATTGAGAGCTGAGTTGAAGAGATAACCACCTGTCAGTGACCATGCTGGGTGGTATAATCCTCCCTGGCCAAACTAGTGCAGACGGGCTTTAGGATCCTACATCACACTCTGGTGGTGATACTGTTCAATTCTTTACCGTTGTAATGACCCTGAAATCTAAACCCTGCAAGTCCATTCATGGCAGAGAGATGAACAACAGTAACATGGATTGTAATAACCGCGATTCAAGGTATAATATACGATAGCGGTTCTAATACCGAGAAGTGTTCCACGGTGACACTTCTACGAAGATAGCTATTTTTGCAACTATTTACCATGTTTTTTTTTTTTAAATGAAATTAAAAGACATGAAAAGAAATAATAATGTACCAATAAAACGGCAAAGCTTGTCAGGTGATCACAAAGACATCGTATCCTATTGATGTCGGGGTTGTCTTCTCGTCGACATCCTTCTGACGACCATCGACCTCCTTGATCAAACTTATCCCAGAACACACACGTCCTGTTATCCACCGCCTCACTGTCTCGAGTCACCTGTATGGAGCAGGACGAAGCAAACACACAATCCAAAGGCGGATCGATCCAACAAAAAAATAAAGGGGTAAAATGTTGAACAAAGATACAGTATTTTTTTTAAATATTTTTTTGTTGGGGGAGGGCGCTGTTTATTATTGGGTTTCTGTATGGAGTAAGGTTCCCTAAACCCACTATCGAGCAACGTGCCGTCACTGATTAGTTCCGTATATTTCAGGTTGACAATAGGCGCATGAATAAAAAAAAAAGTAAGATCTGGCTCATGATCAGCGGGTGTTCAGCTAAAAGTCAAATTTGACTTTGTTTGAAATTTGACGCTCAACTGGTCAACAAATTTGACTCGCGGTTTTCTACACAATTAAGCGAATGAGTGCATTTTTGACGTACCACATGCGTGCTTGTCTCTGTTTCTAGGGGCCTATAATGCAATAATAATCGAGGCTTTTCTTATATATATGGCCTCGTGTGGACAGGGGAGTAAACCCGTTACATACGAGTCGTCAGCGAATAGTGCGCGGCCTTGAACGGGCCGCCATGTGAACATGACATCGTACAAAGAGAGATTGTTATTTAAAATGAGCAGTACAAATGTGCAATGACTGCATGTCGTATGTTCAAATTGCTTACATAGGCCCGATTAATTGTTACGTTACACCCCGTTCACATACACGGAATTTTCTTACGACTCCTTACGGATCGCCAACTCGTAGTCAATCGCAAGCATCCTTAAATAACTCGCTGGTATCCGTAAAGAAGTAGTCACAACTCGCAACAAATCGCAGACACTCTTAAGGATCCGTGAAAAGAGACGCAAATTTGGTGACATGTCAAAAATCTTCTTACGATTGTCCACGGATTGATTTTCCGTAAATAACTCGTAAATAGCTTGTAACAATTCGTAAGTATCGTACACCGCTCGTAACAATTTTTGTTAACGAATTGTTACGGTAAGTTTACAGTTTGTTTACGTAATTTTGATTATGATTTCATTCGGGTCGTTCTACGATGGCTTTACGAGTCGTTACGAATTATTACGAGCACTTTACGTGTAGTTACGAGTATTTACGAATAGATACATATACTTTACGAATTCTTACGTATTGTTTACGATTTGGGGAAAGGTATAAAAGCTGCAAATTCCAACACTTAATTTTCACTTGTTATTTTTTGGCTAAAATCGTAGGAACTCATAAAAACTCGTAACTAACTCGTAACTATTCGTTACAACATGTAAACAGGTCGTAACTAACACATACGTTGCTCATAATTATCCGTGACATCTCGTAACAAATCGTGTAACTTCGCCATAAATACATCGTGATACCTTATAATAATCCGTAATAAACCATAAATAGCTTGTAAAAACTCGTAACAAATCTTAAATCGGTCGTAAAAGTGGCCAAATCACATGGATCCGTGAAAGATCCGTGAATATATGCGATCCGTAAGGACTCGTAAGAAAAATCCGTGTATGTGAAGGGGGTATTGAGGAAATTATGTCATGTGTGCAATGGGCATAATACCTGTTGCACAAAAGTGTCATGTGCCTGACGCACGGGGGTAAAAGTGCAGGTAATGACGTAATCGAAATGACGCCCCGTGTGTTATAATAATAATAATAATAATAATAATAATAGCCTAATAGTCCACTTCACGGAAATTCTTTTTGCCCAATTGATCGTGAGCCCGGCAGCCACTGAGCAGCGCCAGATCGACGTTGCTCTATCCCTTATTGTTGAACACCAAACAAGGTAGCAACAACTCTCACCTTTTAACGTCTTTTGGTATGACGCGGCCGGGGGGGGGGGGGTTCGAACCCACGACCTTGCATTAGCGTAATATCTTAGCCCTTTGCGTTTTATATTTGAAAGAGAAATTGTAGATAGTATTTCATAAATGACTCTCATAAATGACGTGTGGAGAGTAAATAAATCATTTCAGATTGATTAAAGCACGCAGTTTTTCCGCTGCTCTTTTTAATGAATCAAACGAACTCACATCCAGTTCAAGGAAGACTGTCTCCACTTCACCACCCTGCGGCAAACCTTCAATGACCGCACCCTCCACGGTCGCTGATATTACCCGGGTGCCGACCGCTAGTCGACGACCACAGCCGAGATCGTATTCTTGGTCTGGACTTAAGAAGAGCTTACTGGTCTGGAATATGAAGAAAGTCACTGGACCAGTTCCATTTTCTGAATGGTAGAGAAGATGGGAGAAGAATTGCTTTTCAGGGACTTTCAAGAAAGGGTGTACGCGTTATTCTAACTGGCTATTCCCATTTTCTCACATATTAAAATTACTGATTAATTTAACTTTTTTGGTCTCATATAAAATTCTCTTAATTTCATCATAGTTTTATGCATGTTGTTATCGCTGCTGTTGTTGTTATTGTTGTTGTTGTTTAGGCAGTAGACCTGACAGTATCACTATTAATTATCAATACACAAGTTAACATACAGGAATGTGTGTTGCTAAATGGATTCACGCTTTGAAAACAACTGCTCGCTTACCACCTAAGCCTCGTGTTTTTTGAATGATTGCAAATAGATTTCATTAATGTTCATTGTATCGAATTGACGGAAACATAATTTAAAGTTCATGATTGTAGTTTACATTCTAGTTTGGTGACGGTTTCATTATGCAATTGTATGTAATGTTTGGGTTTGTAACATGTAGTGTATTGCACCTAATAAATATGGAGGCAAAAGTCCAAGAATGTCTGGTGGCAAAACAATGGTTGCATCGATTGTTGTCATCGGGATGTTGTCCGGATAGAAGTAAACCATCGTTTTATTTTCATTCGGCTCGTTGAGCACGTTGCTTTTCTCTTCACCGTCCGGCGATGCCAGGGTAGCGAACCCGAAACCCTCCAACAGACTGGCCTTTGGGATCTGGAGGGCCACTACAGCTACGCTCCTTCCGACGATGGTGAGGTTGTTGCCGTCGCCTTGGGTCTGGAAGAGGGTGACCTGTTGCTCCAATAAATCGAGAATCCTCGTCGAGGTTTGGAACTCGACGGCGTTAACAAACTCCTCGTCGGGAGCACCGAGAGCATTGTCGACGATCCGGAAGGTGTTGTTGGTGACCTGATAGAAAACAGTTAATTGATTGGTTTTTCCTGACCCGAAATTAATTATTATAAATACCTCACCAAAGGTTACTAGCTCTGATTGAAAATTCTCACAGTATTTATCTTAAAATATTCAAGTGCATTGGACATCCATTAAATACTACTTTTGTCGGGGGTGGGTTGTGTCGCAAAACACAATATAAAATTATAAATTGGTGGACAAAGTCGTAAGAATGGCTTTCACATGGTTTTCGCAATCAGAAAGAGGCATTTGCCGGGAAGTTAACTCTGCAAGTACACCTCTGTGGGTCTGAGTTCGGCGTCAGAAGTATACACATTAAAACCGTAAAATGTGTAATGTGTCATGACAGAACTAATTCATGATAATAGTTTTCCGGCGACAATAGATTGACAGTTAATAATCAAATTCCTAAATTGAACCATGGATCCAAACCAAAACCTACCTTACCCTTATCCTATAACCATTAACCTAATCTAATTCTAATCGTAACCTATGCAAGCCCTAAATAAAAAATATTTGATGTCGCCAACAAATATTTTGTCGGATCACGGAAAATCTGTGTTATTACCTCTGTCGATGAGTTCCCGGCGTTGACGACTTTCTCCAGAGCATCGGAGATGGCTCGGAGACCTTCTGCGTTGATATCGGAGACATTCGCGGTCGCTTCAGCAACGTCGTTAGAATATTCGGTCACATTCTCTGATGTCACAACTGCCTGTAATTGGAGAGAAGCATTTTCACCCAGAAACGGAGTCATATCTTGCAAGAGGGTAAATTCCGAAAATAGAATTGGAGAGACCAATTCTTGATGTGTACTTAAAAAGGTTTGCCACAAGTTGGACACAGTACTAGGGGAACGACCGGCTAATTGCCCCCCCCCCCCCCCTGTCCGTGGAGTACATTTGCGTAAGTGTGCTGATGAACAATGATGAAAATGATAATTATTCGTTGGGGCTTTGATGACGCAAGCAGCTCGATATTGGGACAAAAGGCATACAGTGCAACATTTTTTAAAGCCGAATTAATGCCCTTTCACTCCATTCCCCTCTCTCTCTCTCTTTCTCTCCCTTCTTCTTCTTCTTCTTCTTCTCCTGCTTCTCCACCTCCTCATTATACTTCTTTTTTCTTCCTCCTCTTCTGCTTCATCTACTTCCACTACTACTACTACTACTACTACTATTACGAAAGAGTACGAAATATATAATAACTTAATTTCTTACCCTTGCAATGTTGTCCAAAACCTCATTAGTATCTTCTCCCTCAAAGCAGTCTTGGAACACGGGATCATCCCAGACAGCTCCCGACAAGAGATCCCCCCGACAAGTCCGTGTAGCTCTTGGTAGGGGGGCTACAATAAATACATGTGTTTGTGTATGACTTTAAGTAACTAATTTACATAAACGAATGAGAAAAAGGGAGACAAAGAAAGGAGGAAACTAGAAAATGAAGGAACAGGAAACGAAGGGGAAGTAAAATGCAAAGAAGATGATATACATCACCTATATAAAGACGAATCTGACCCACACCTACCAAGACACCACATCACTGTCCGAATATAAGTCCTTTCAACAATATCAAGGGGCTGCAAACCCCTCCTTCGCCTTATACGCCCATGCCTTGAAAATTATTAAGATTAATTATGAGAAATTTCATTAAATATCCCTAAATACTATCTGTGATGTGATCAGGGATGTAGCCACAGGAGTACGGTGTCACAGAAAGGGATGCCAGGACTCCATTTCAGGCCCTTATTGATGGCCTTGTTAATATGCCTAGTTAATTCCCATTGGCCATCCACTACGTAAGGCCGATCGATGCCACCCCCCCCCCCCCCTCCTCAATGGCTAACCCATGCTACATCACTGATTGTCGACTTACTGTTGTTACTGTATTCACTACACCGTTCTTGGCTGTCAGCGGTCTGGTCCAGAGGTGTAGCGGGAAAGTTCAGGGTTCCAAAGGTACCCGTGATAACCGATTCCAGGCAGGATGCTAAGCATGTCATTTAGAAAAAGAAAATGGGTCCATTTACTTGGGACAAATTGATGAAACTGATTCGTTGGAATTACTCAAAAGAACATTCAGCAGCAGTTATTTCGGGAGTAAGCTGCGTTTCAACAGTACTTCAAGGTCTCTTATTTCAACACTCGTTGCACTCGAGGCGTCACCTCGATTGCGTCAATATCTGCCCTTATTACCCCTCTGAAGGCAATTAACCCATACTAAATATATAGACCGGTAATACAACGCATTGTTAGCACTGCTAATGTTTCATTCACTTTTTGTACAATGTTACTCTCACATATGTAACCACGGCAGAGTTAGAGTTGAAACTCCTACGATATAAATGCAAAGGCACAGCATATCTTTAGAGACACACACAATCTCAAGGAATCATTTCACGGGCTCATTTTTTGGTACTAATCAGTCAAGTCACTGATAATTGTGAAATGTGTATAAACCTATTCATTTACAAAGTTGTGAGATGCTACTAGGTGTTGTTATTGGCTGCATAGTTGTGGTCATTGATAAAACTGGAAAAGAAACAAAGAAAGTATACTTATTCTACATAATACAACACTATGTATTAACATGATCAACATCTGAATTTTGCACAATCGTATTCCACGATAAATACTTTTTTTTTGTTTCGCTCACCAGTCAATTGAAGGCTCAGACAAAGTTTACAAAGAAAAGAATTATGATACAAAACGTAAACAATGGACATTCATAGGCTCTTATATGTGTGACCTCGGCATTTCAAAAGTTGAAACTCCTATGATGTTACTGCAAGGCACAACAGATCACCAGAGACCAAAACAATCTCAAAGAATCTAAACAAATATATTGTATTTCTTTATTTTCTTAATGCAAAAGAGAATCTACGGTGGCCTCAGGGTCACACTAGGGCGTATCCCCTTCTTTACAGGCTGTACGGGTCACCGTGGGATTATAACGTGGAGTTATAATTTTTTTCATTCTAGGTTCGCCGTAGCAATTATACAATTATACACACCGTAGTCATGCCGTAGAGTGGTTCCACGGCGACCATACGTCTGGGGTACGGTGACCTTGCGGCTACCTTGCGTCTGCCTTAAATATTTTGTCGAAAACCTACGGCCGTCGCAGGGACGCCTTAAGTCCCTATCACACCGAACTAGTTCTCACTACGTTCTGGAAAAAGTTGCCAAACGGGCTTAAACTGTGTGCGAACGGAGTTGAACGTAGTAGCAACTGTTCACGATCTGTTTAAAACCTTAATTTACGGGCTTAGGACTCAGACTGGGGGGGGGGGGTGCTCTAGAATCAACATTTTCCTTCTCCTGCAATTAGACGGATTGGCAACGTACGTAAAACGAGGAGGACGTACTACAAACGGACTGATTGCCGTTCTACGAACGGAATTGCCGTAGTTCGATCCTACTTGGAACGCGTTACAATGTGCTGTGGTCGAGCATTGATTAGCAGCAGTTTAAGCCCCTATCACACAAAAGGAGTCTTCACTACGTTCTGGAACCGTCTTAGAAAATCGTAAACACGGGTTATGGTCGGGGTAGAATGTGTTAAAAATGTCTTTAATACGATCCTAGATCGTTCATAAACAGTTCTCGATACATCCATCTCGTCTGTACCCCGTTCACAGTGAGTTACTATCAAGTTCAGATCGGGTAAATTTGCCATTGCTCAGCAGTCCATGCCCGTCCTTTATCAGTTTAAACCAGTTTTTACCTCGTTCCCAATACGTCCAAACCTTTCTAACTAGGTCACAACTTGTTCTAACTAGATTGTAACCCGACCATCCCGTTCAGGGACAGTTCAACTCGTCCTAATCTCGATCTTAGTGCGTTCGAACGCGCCCCTATAGGCTCGAGGGCTATAAAACCCAGCGCGTTTTTGCCATCCTTAATTTTCGTTAAATTATACTGCTGATAATTGATCCTCGACCATTACACGTTGTAACACGTTCCTAGTAGGATCTAAGTACGGCAATCCCGTTGGTAGTACGTCCATCTCGTTTGAAGTACGTTGTCACTCCGTCTAATTGCAGTACGGGAAAATTTTGAACAGGCTCAAAGTTTTAGAGCACCCTTCCCGTCCAAGCCAGTCCGATCCCGACCATGAAGTTCTTAAACAGATCGTAAACAGTTGATCCAACGTTAACTCCGTTCCCACACAGTTTGAGCCCGTTTGGCAACATTTTACAGAACGTAGGAAGAACTAGTTTGGTGTGATGGGTGTTTCACTTGAATGTCTTGATGTGCAGAGCTTGATGCGTTGAAGTTGAACGGGAATAAGGAATGACAAGAACGCGCTGGGGTTTTATAACCATTGAGCCAGGACGTGATTCCACATGCTCTAGGAGCGCGTCCGAACGCACGAAGAACGAGCTGAAAAAAGGCTGAACTGTCTCTGGACTTGGTAGAACTAGTTAATAACGGGTATAGACTGACTACGGACTGGCTTGAACTGCCTGGAAACGGCAAATTTACGCGATCTGAACTTGATATGAACTGACTGTGGACGGGGTACAGACGAGATGGACGTATTGAGGATTGTTTATGAACGAACTAGGGTCGTATTATAGACATTATTTACAAATCTACTCCGACCACAACCCGTTTTACGATTTTCTAGGACGGTTCCAAAACGTAGTGAGAACTAATTTGGTGTGATGGGGGCTTTAGTGAACCGGTCTCATGGAAAGAAAACAAAAGAGTCGAAAGAGACCTGGAAAAAACAAAATGCACTAATGCACTAACATTTTGTCTATCATATTGGACAGAGTTAACGACATAATTAGGCAGTCTTTGAAGCATCAGCGACATAGTTATGCAATCTTTGATGCATACATGCAGTTGTTGCTGGTTTTATTTGTGGTGTTCAGTCAGCTTTGACTTTGACGCCTGATCTAGTTTTCTAAGTCTTGTCGAGGTAGTTGAGTCGTAATGTAATTTCTTGCTAGTTGTTTCGACCGATGTTGCTCTCTTAGAACAAGCGGAGAAACTGTAAACACCCTTTTCCCTCTTTTTTCAAACGAGACAAAAACAAAACAAATAGAACAGAAGCATGCATTGGACATATAGACGGATAGATATGTATAAGGACTGGTGACCTAAGCAGTTTTGGAAGCTTCAGTCACCTATGTAGTCTTGAAAGCGTCATCAGCGATCTATGTAGTTTTTAAAGCGTCAGCGACATAGTTGTGCAATCCTTGAAGCGAAGGCGACCTATGCAGTTTTTTGAGCAACGTATTTCCAAGAGATATTTTATTCTTATTCTGTACAAGAATAGGAGTTAAGACGATACTTACCTGGAGTAACGTTTAGAATTTCAGGTTCTTGGAATGACAAATCTGCCAGCATTGCTCCCCCAACTGATTTTGTTTGCGCATAAAGTCGAACAAGAAACTTCTCTGATTGGTCGCTTTGCGTCACATGGTACACTCCATTGTCCAACATTTTATAAAAGTAGCAATAACCTTTGACCGGCAATTCTTCGGTAAGATTGAAGCAGTATCCAGTGAAGTCGCTGACTGCAGTTCCGTTCAATTTCAGACTATCTTTCCCGCGCTTCGTGGTAATAAAATCTACAAATTGCAAAATACCACGATTTGTATTTTCAACGCGCAATGTGGTATTCCCGTGAAAATCTTGCGTTGGTGGAATCAAAGTCATGCTAGGATCACCGTGTTGAGACGTAGAAGAACTTGCCATGTACTGCATAACCTGGACCGGCATATCTGAGATTATCATGCAAACGGATTCGGTCACGTTTTCAGCGACTTTGACATCAATATATGTTTGGCTACTAAGCATCTCGTGTTGTAGAGTGTCGTTTCCGCATTGTGATAATGTCACGTTGGTGTTTGAGTAAAACGCCGAAACGCGGATTATCCATCCGTTTGTCGCATTCTGGAAGGGTGGGACAAAATGGACACGCCCCCACTTTGAGACAGGAATCAATTGTTCTATGATGACGCCGTGGTCTAGACCCCCCTTCATCGGTATTTGTACAGACATTGATCCAACAACAACCGAGACTGGTTTATCAGCGAGGACCAGTGTCCCGGTAAGGTTTGCTAGGGCATCTGTTGACAACAGAACTGAGGTATTCGTATTTAAAGTAATGTTTCCATCAATTGTTTGTCCATCTATGGTACAGGAACTAACACAATAGATCGTCACGCTAGTATTGTCGCTAATGGCCGTTATTGCAGCTTGGGGACGAGCATTCAGTTGTGGAGCATCTTTGGGTGGTGTGTAGACATCTATCAAGTATTCCTTGCCGAGATAGTCGTTTGGGAGAGCGAGAAAACCTCCAGTGATGGCACCACGAACGACTATTCCATGAACGATGATGTCCGCAGTGGAAAACACTGTAATAGTGCTGCATATCTTCTTGTCTATTTCTACACTTATATTTTCGTCGTCAGGTTCTTCGAACCATCCTTTTATTTCCAGGCATGGTACCCAGATAAAGGTCCTCTCCTTGGAATTTAGGGTTATTCTCAGGCTGGTCTTGAAGTAATTCAAGTCTATGAACCGAAAGGTATAATTTCTGATGAACGTCAGGTTTTGTGGAAAAGCTGCAGGAATGAGAACAAAATCAAGAACAGGGGTAAAACATGGGTGAGAAAACTCTGCGGAATACTTCCCGGGGAGTGCAGCGTGTGCACTAATATGTAACGATGAGCAATTGGATTCAATGACCAGGGTGATAAATGTACAATGTCAAGCCCGTATAAACGTAGTATTAAGGGCTATATACAGCTATACACAACTATTACTATCACAACGTATTAGTGTTAGTAGCGAGTTTTCGCTCAGCAACGAACAGACCTTCGCGGACGCAGAGCACTCAGGTTTACGGCCGTCGCACACAGACCGTCCTCGATACAATACGTGGTTTCGTTTTCCGGTGAATGCGTACGTATCTCTACGGAGGTATGGCATTTGCAATGCCATTAGACAATTTTCGTAATGTAACCAAATGTAATGCATACGTCTTTGTGAAGTGCCTCGATACAAAATATTTCATTCACCTGATAAGGATAATAGTATTTCAATAGACAGAATCCAAACAGCATACATTAGTTGTTGCCAGTTCGACAAACATTAGGGGTATTTCGCAATCTCATTGCGGACAGATAATCTGCGGTTCGTGTGCAAAATCAAGAAGCTACTATAGTAACAGCAGGGTGATCGCTGAGGTACTGAAATCCAGAACGGGTTTTGGCCAAATCTACGGGCGTTCTCAATGACGCCCCAAGTGAATAAACAGCCAATCAGCGAGCTTGTACCAAAGATGGTGATGAGAATTTCGTCGTCTAATAACGAAAGATGACGAATTTTAACGGGCGGATCTAGCTTTTCTCTATGGCGTGGGAGGGGGGGGGGGGGGGGGTTGACATTTGAAAAATCGCGACGACCAATATTTCGCTTAGTGAGGGGTAGGGAGCACTAAAATTTGTTTTCAATTTGA